AACGAGACAGCTGTGAAAAATTTCCCCCACATCGCGACTGATTGCGAGTCTGCGACAGTGATTCTCATCGATCTCATATCGAGACCCGCATGTCGAAATCACTTGATGCGTGGATCAGAGTAGCTCATGATCATGATCCGGATTTGTAAGCCTATCGCTTTTTCTTCTTTCCTTTTCAGTCATCACTGTTTCCCCAGCCCTCAGGCTCATCAGCATCGACAACGAGACAGCCCTCTCATCGCGTCCATTGATGTCCACGACTCCTGAGCCCGAGCCTCAGCACGTCAGCCCGGCGTACGAGCGCCACGGCGGCCACAGCTCCGTCTCGAGTCCCCCAGTGCATTCCACACACAGCTCTCCTTCGCGCGTGTCTGTTGGTGGCTCCTCAGGATCTATATTGTTCACCGACGACGTGGCGACCAAGCCCTCCGAAACCATTCACCGCAGGTGTTTCACTTGCCGCACAGTACAGACAAGCGTGTGGCGGCGCTCCGTTTTGAGTGTGGGGAAAGTAGTGCGTGTGTTCCTGCTTGCTTGGATGCTAATGAAATGCCGGGTTTTAGTTGTGTAACAAGTGTGGCCTTCACGAACGAATACATTCGTGCCCTAGACCGGCCGACTGTGGGCAACGAAAACGAAAGATTAAGCGGGGTGCAGGTGGGACGGTGAGTGTCGACTGGTCTCTTTTTGTCCGTATCTCTCCCTCCGTTCGCCTACTAAGGGTACACACACCTGCAGAAGAGCCAGACCGACGAATCCTCTGCTCATCCTTATTTTTGTCTTCCACAAAACAGCAACGGCGACGTCAGCCGATATCCCTACAACCTGCCATACCACCCCCTCGCTGCGTGCAAATTAGAGCAGCATCCTACCGACTATGGAACCCCTTTTATTCTCGCTTGGGCGCCGTCGGAGGGCGTCATGGTTGAGGATTCGACTGTGTGTGAGGGTGAATCTTCTGAGCGCGTGCCTGTGGTAGTTCAGAACGAGTGTGGGAAGAAGCGGCTGCGTGAGGAGGATGTGGAGATGCGAGGGTCACCACCTCCCGGCCTCCCAGGATCAATATCGGTATCGTTCACGGACGAAGCGGAGGCGATCGCCACGTACCGATTGCAGCAGCAGCATCCCACTCAAAATGGCTACGACCACGGAACGCCTTGTAGAGTCCGCGGGTGGGCGCCGTCGCTCGGTGTGATGGATGAGGATTCGACTGCGCGTGGGGCGATTCAAAACGGGAATCAGAAGAAGCGTCGCTGTGAGGAAGATATGGATGGAGAAGGAGCGGTGAAGAAGGTTGGAATGAACGACGAGGAGGGGAAGAAGGTTCGTCAAGAGGCTCTGCACGGTTCCCATCCTGAACATCGGTCGCGACTGCGTGTACTGTGGGATATGCCGTTTTGAGGTGGCAGACGAAGGGCAGGGTCGTGTTGAAGAAGATTTTAGGAAGGGGGGCAAACAGGAAAGATATGAGTGGGCGTCTCTTGTGGTTCTTGGCATTGTTCAAGCATTGTTTTCTTGTTTGTATCTCGCGAAGCACTCTGCAGGTGATTGTGACGTGCGGTGTAAATATAACGTTTGCCGTGCGAAACCAACCTCGAGCCCCTCGGATCTGGCAGTGAGGGCCGGGGAGTCATCCGCACAAATACCAATCAAGATAAGCATACGTACTTGAGTAGGAAAGCCACCTCTCCCACCCACAACTCGCGACGAAAATCTCTGGGACAACAAGGCAGAGAAAAAGCGCCAGTAACCGCCCTCGAATGAGAGCGCGTGGAATCGAACCACCCGCGGATGAATCATACTTACTCTCGTTTTTGAGTCGCAGTAGGAACGGCGTCACAGCTCAGAACAGTGAATCCAGGAATATGCGCTGCGGATGTAGGTCCCAGGACAAGACGCAGATACCAAGTACTTATCTCGCAGATTGAATTTTTGAGCCCGGATCACTCGGTCGCCTGTGACAGTGACACGTAATCAACGTCGCCTTCATCTCCCCGTCTCAGGTCTGCCGTTTCCTCAACGGTCTCTCTTCCCGATGGTGTCCCTCGTTTGAACACTTGCTTCCATTTCTTCGTCTAGTCGGATCCGGTAGTCGGATGGTCGCGGATGGCAAGATAACTACCGCGATCCGGTCCTCGTCTCCTCGAGGCTCGTGGACCAAGTACTATTAGAATGGCCTTAGCGCACGGATGCACCCACAAGAGCACTCTTGCGATCTTCCACTCCGTCAATATACTATGCTCTGTCTACTGCTCACCGCTCTGCTGGCTACAATCTTGGCTTTACTTCTCCGCAAGTACGGCGCGCGGGAGGATGGACTGCCACCTGGGCCTCCCACTCTGCCGATCATAGGAAATCTTCACGTATTCCCCAAGGAGTACCCGCATTTCAAGTGGGTGTGTATACGCGCTCCCTACGCCGTTGACGCACCTCTCCTCCGACAGATTCACGGAATGGGCTAAAATATACGGCGGTATCTACTCGGTCAGTAATTCCCTTACGCCACAGACGACGTTCAATACATCCACAGCTCAAAATTGGACCTGGCACCCTCGTGGTCGTCACCGATATCGCCGTCGTGAAAGAGCTGCTTGAGAAACGGAGCCTGACGACGTCTGATAGACCTGGCTCGCACATCGTCGACGTAGTCACCGGGGGACTCCATATAGCATTTGCCCGGTACGGTACGTGGCCCTTCCTTTACATACAATTAAAAAACCACACGCTCATCTCGCGTATTAAGCTTCATCTACCTGCTAGGGCGCTGACGGATATGGATGATTCTAGTGCGGGAACTACACGATTCCCTCCGGCTCCACCGTATTCGTCAATGCTTGTGTGTCGCACCTCCCGTCCATCTGAGCAGCCCGTTGATTGATTTCGGAATATTTAGGGGGAATATTTCATGACCCAGGTTCGCCCCGATTTCGTGCAATATTGGATTGCGTCTGATGTCGACCATGCCCAGAACTATTCAGCGATCCGGACGATTTCCGTCCAGAGCGATATCTGTTGACGGAGAACGGCACGAAACCTGATCTGGATATCGACACTAGCAGTCTCAAGACGAGTCTGGCTTTTGGTGTTGGACGGGTCAGTTCAGTTCTCCCATTCCTTTCTGTTGCTGATGCATTCAGCGATCGTGCCCCGGAATCCACGTTGCACAGAACTCCATCGTGCGTTTCTTTCTCACTCTGTAGATCGGCTACTCACATGCCGTCCGGCGCAGAATATCAACGTCCTCAACCTCATCTGGGCGTTTGAATTCAGACCAGCCGTTGACGCAGAGGTTGATACATTCGCTTATTCCAAGGTACGTGTTCGTGCCGATAAATGTCTCACTCGGACATGATAAAACAGGGCGTGGTGACCACGCCGCTCCCGTTCCGCTGCCAAATCACCCCGCGCTCGGCCGAGAAGGCGGAGATCATTCGGAGGAGGTTTCAAGAGGTGAGGGAGATGTTTGAGAAGTTCGAGGTTGAGGAGGATGGTATATTTGCTGGGTCAGGGGTTGGCGATGTTCAATGAGGCGTCGTTGATCTTTCCGACTGAGGCTTTCGTACCAGAATATGGACTCAAGGTGAAATTGATGGCGCTTAATTGTGAAGCAAGGGAGCAGATCCAGCAATGATTTGATGTGGTATGGCTTGTGACGCTATGGTCTGCACGAAGGGAAAGTAGGTGTTTTTTGGAGAGGCGAGGGCCTCGAGGAATGGGGCCACGTCTTTGCCCGATAGCGACAGCCTGTCGTGCAGCAGATGCCTGCTTCGATCATGGCAGATCGTGGCTGGCATCCCCAGGAATCATATACTGCAGAGCTGATAAGAACGGCAATCAGGAGAAGAATACGACACAGGCTAGTCGGAACCGTACCATCAATCTCCCCCGATCTGCGCTTCGATATAAACTCATCTGCGCGCGCCCAATAGTCTATGCCCTTCAGAGCGCCCATCTGCCAGTCTCTGACATATCGCGTACAAACGAGCTGGACAAAGCGAGGGTCACGCGCGAGGTCCTTTAGATGTGGGTCGATGGTGGACCTGGCGAGGATCGGCATGTGCGCCATCGCGAGAAATATGAGTGCACGCAAGGACTCGCACCCGCGTAACAACGTGGGCGACAGCGATAGCAGCTCCAAGTCGCTATTGTAGGCGAAATGAGTGAGATTGGGGATTGCAGCAAGCCCCGCGGACCAGACGTCCTCGGTGAAATGTGGGACAAAGGTGAGCTCGAAGTGGGTGAGTTGGGAGAACATGGGATGCCTGAAGTCGATTTTTGGGAGAGTGAACGCCTCGAGACTGCAGTGCAATCTCCGTAAAGGCATTGTGCTGACGATAGGCCAGTGGTCGCGCGTAAGGTTATTGATCCAGAGATCTTGGACGTTGGAGGCCGCGGATAAGATGGGCTGGATTCTGTCTGGGTCCACCGAGACCAGACAGAGATGATGGATGGACTCCCCGAGTGTGGATGGAGAGCCAAGCGATTGTATGAAGAGATCCGAACGACAGGGATACCAGGACGCTGCATTCAGGCCCAAGGCATTGTCTGCTTCTGAACCGGAGAGCATGACAACGCGGTATAGGAGTGGTTCGACCCTGGGCTGATGAGCGGGGAAAGGGCTCAGGACAAGTCGACAGACCAGAGTTTGACGCGCCACGCTACAAGCATAAATTTTGGGATGGCGAGCGGCTCAATGTAAGCTGCAGTAACAAAGATTTCCTGTTCTAGTTCGTGAGGCAGGACCGGAGCGAACACGAGAGGTGCATCGTCAGCCATTGCTGGCGATGATGTGGCGGTCAGAAGCAAGCGACAATTGCATCCGTCAATTGCTGATCATCAATCCCTCTGGTCGGAGTTGTCCCTGACCGTCATCTTTCTACAAAGCAAAATCCAAGATCTTGGGAACATTCTGGATTACAAAAGAGCCCTGGCGGCGAAGCTTCACGCCTCAGCCGGATGCGTGGAAGGTCAGGGACAAAAATCTGACAAAATGTCACGAATGCATTAAGGGGGAATCGAACCCCCGGCGGGTCGAAACTAGCGAAAGTTCGACGATGGCAACGATGGCAACGACCCAGGTTACCACTACCCCATTAATGCGTTGCGATGAGGTGTATATTGATTTCCACTATCAGTATCAATTGCGGTTCCCTTGCTCTTTGAGTCAGCGACATCTCGGACAGGGAGCTCTCCCAGGACTAATTGTCGTTCGGTGTACCAATTGATTCGGACAGTGCATATCAGGAGAAAATGGGTGGCTTTGACTTGACTAGTTTGAATCGCCGCGGTTCTGTTCGTCCGAGATGCCGCATGCCATAAGTATGTCGCGCGAAGTCATAGAAGCTCTCTGCTCTTACGCTTCAACAACGCCTCTAGATTCTTCCGACGTATACATATATTCTCTTTGGAACCTACACACTTTATGCGGCCACCCCACTTGTATCCACCGCAGCAAGTTGTCCCCCTCTGGTAGTCACAAACAATGTCTTGGTCGCTTTTGCACCCACCCGTCCAAAGGCCGCCGAGCTGGGCTCATTCAGCGTCGTATTAACCACAACCAGCTCCACATTCCTCGCCGGGTCCATCAACGTCAACGACCCAGGATTCGTAGCCAACCACCCCCGGCCCTGGCTATCCAACGCAAAATCATCAAGTAGCCCCAAATTCGTCCCAAGTTGCTGTACGGCTCCGCCTGCAAGTGGCATCCGCGAGAACGTTCCACGCTGCGAGTTGGTAAAGTACAGCTGGCCGCCCTGGGCGTGGAGTCCGTTAATGCCGAGAGGAGGTGCATCCGGGTCGCTGGGCCCGATGGGCGTCATCGCTACGTCCTCCAAGAAGACGCTCACAGCACCAGTGCGCACGTTCGCCCCCCAGGCTACCCCGAGGACCGAGTCCGCGACGAGGACAACGTCGGGGTTGCCGGGGAGAGCACAAAGGCCGTTGGCGAGGCCGGCCTGGGGGATGCTCGCGCCCTTCGTCGTCTTTGGGGTACCACGCACGGTGAAGTCGACTGTCCAGATGACCGCGCTTCCTGGCGTAGCGGTGAGGGTAGTTGTGTTGAGTTCGGCGGCGACGACGGCGAAGACGTCGGGACGAATCTCCCCGATGCCGAGGAGTGCATTGGCGTTGGGGAAGGTCACTACGTCGGTGAGGGTAGGGTTCTTGGCGGTGGGATCGAAGGAGAAGAGGGTGGAGACTGAGGTGGAAGTGACGAGCAGCTCGGAAGATGCGCGCGCTGCCAGATTTTCGAGAGACGATCCATCCGAGGTTTGGAAGAGCACTGTGGTCGGCAGTGACGCGGCGGCGTGTGCAGAAAGGTGGAGCAGATTGAGGGTCAATGTAAACCAAAACATGTCGACTGCTGTTGGTGAAGTGAGCCCAGTTCTTGGCTTTATATACCGGGCGGGAAGAATACGTATTATGCGGTTTGAGTTGGCCGTTGCCGTGTGGGACCTTGCACCTTGGTAATGTAACGGAACATAACTACGCTTGGGAGCAGAAAGCCGAACACGGAAGCTTGACGCGTAGTTATCGGCGCCCGCCCCTGACCCACACCCGCGCCCGCTGTAACCGTTAAATATCCCATTCAATTCGAGACATAGCCCGACCCACATTCCCGGCAGTGTAATCAATTTGGGTCACTAGTCTGACAGTCCCGCCCTCAAGACAAGTACCCGCGAGTCGACCCACTTCACACACGTCTCTCGCAAGTTGCTTTTCCCGCCGAACTACTCGCAAAAGAGATGGCCGTCCGACACGGGAGTTGAACAAGGAGTAGTGTTGCCGCAAGACGGAGATACTTATCTCGACAGCGAGATGAGATGATCTCGTCTCAACCTAAATTTGGCAAGTCGAGATGATCTCGTCTCGGTCTCGTCTCACGTCTCATCACGTCCGGCTGATACTGCTCTTGTTGCGGCATCCCACCTTCCATGCTCCCTCCACTCTCGACCTAAACGCACGTCCCAACGCCCCAGGCACGTCGGCTCAGTCTTTTTAAGCGGCAAAGCTACGGTTGCGCGTAGCGACGCGCAATATTCGGGCCCGCCTAACCTAATTTACAGGGTCCCAACGCCGTGTCGTATTCTCTCTTCCTCCCTTCACTCTCCCTCTGTTTTTCAGCAAGCTACCATTATGCAATCCAAGCCCAAAACCCGCGCGCAATGGATTGACATCAAGCAGATGGTGTCGGGTTTATCGAAGGAGGAGATAGATGAGGCGGGTGGATTGGATGGAATCCGGGAAAGTTTCCGCCCAGTGCTAGCTGAGGAATTGGAGTAGATTTATTGTACATTCACCTACATACACGCCAGACCAAATAAGTATATATAGATTATTGACAGTACTTAGCACATCAATCTTGCGAGACGATTTCACGAGAACGAGACGAGATGACAGCGAGACGCCCAAAACGGCATCTCGAGATCATCTTGATCTCGTCTCGCGGCAACACTAACAAGGAGTAATCGCATCTGATGGCAGATTTGGCCCTGGTGATGCCTACCGGGTTTGCAATGTCCAGTTTCAACCGTCGTCCAATATCGGCTTCTTGAAACACTCCTCGCGCTGGATAAGTAAATAGTTCATCGCCAAAACCTCTGGCCCGAAGTACGCCATGACACAGAGTAACTAATCGGCCAAACACTGAGAGAAAAATTGGTTGTTCTGCACGCATGTCGTATTGGAAACACAGCAATTTGGCCCTGTAAATCCTTCTCCGCCACACTGCGCGTACTCGATTGCACACTGTGGAATAAGTACGTTCAGCCAGTACAGGACCTCGGCACGACGAAAAAATACTTACAAAGCCCGCAGGCCGCGTCCGCACAAGAACAGACAGAGACCCAGCATTAGTTGCCGTTGAGGCCCCACCAACTTGCTCGGTGGCGACGATTTGATATCCAAACGTCCCGAGAGGCATCCCTGCCGCAGCCCAGGCCGTGAAATGGTTCTGCGTCGTCACGGTCGGAATACCGGCATTCACGGGCGACTGCCGGATGCTCCAATACTGCGTGAAGTTGGATGTCCCCACTGGAGAAACACCGTCGACAATTTGAGCTTCGTAGATGTCGTAGACGGAGCCGTCGGAGGTCAGGCTGCCCTTTGATGTGAGACCGACAGTCGGATCGACGCCGCCGAAATTCTCCTCTAGAATGCGATACTCGACAAGTGGGTCGGTCGTCCACCCGTAGATGGAGAACCAGCTGTTACCGACTGGACTGAATGTACTGTACGAGATTGATCTGACATTCCTTTCGTTATTTTCAGGTCCATGCAGAAAGATTTCTTCACTGACTGTGGAGAGCCCGGGGTCCAGCCTGCGCCTCCGATAAAATGACCGCTGTTCTCTCCCCATTGGATGGCATACTCTCCGTCGTCCTCGTTGGTAAAGGTGGCCGCGTCCCCATCGTCGGCGGAAAAGGCAAAGAAATAACCGAAGATGAGGCCGCTCTCGTTGGCGGGTACGGCGGCGGTGAAGGTGAATCTCGCCAGAAGAGCAAAAAGAAGGGGAAGCGCGATCATGTTGGAAGCTGCTGGAACTGCGAAGCGCGGAGAGCAAGCCTTTATAGTTCATAGGCACATCACCTGCAAGCCCCGTCCAGATTGTGGTCAGGCAATGACAGCCCGGGCAAAAGTCGGTGCGGATAAACAATGAACACATCCAGGGACACGGATCACACCGTCGATGATGTCTAAGCCCGTTGTGGGTGGAACTCGGAAGCCAGGAAAGACAAAAGCCGGCACTTGAAGTTGCATGAATCCACTGGCACTGAAAACAATGCGGCTTGCGATGTTCCTCGGGGCCAGGCTGGGGCGCACAGAGGTTATTTCGCCACGGAGGACAATTGACGAGAGGGGCGGGCATCGGAGCCCGTTGGCAGGATACACTTCCTCGGCCAAAGCTCGGAAAGTACTATATGAGACCCCCCACCTGGCCGCACAGGCTACCTGGCCACTTGATCCATACAAGCCTTTCGGTGGGATATTCTTACTTGGCTGTAGTCACATATTGGAAGGGATGTAGATGGCTCGTCGCGAACCGAATTTGAACTTGATTGACGTAGTTGACGTGATGCTGTGCTCGTCGGGGACCGGGGCGACTGCCCGACACACGTGATTTCTTAATTTGGCGCTGGCATCGTCTGCAGTCGACAGTCTCTATCTCCACGACCACCCCACATTTCTGCCACTTCTTGCACCCAATAGACTCGTAGGATCCCTGGCTACGATTGAGCCACCATTCGGCCGTATCCATGCTGTCTAGGTATCCGTAGAGGCCGCACAATCCGACCCAATTCTCGAAAATTCAGTCCACGAGGCGTCCGCTTGCTCAAAGTCTATCGGACTCAATCTTCAGGCGACCCCCGGGAAACTTGGCACGGTGGGTCAGCATGGCTGAAGGACTCCTCACCTGGTACTGATGGATTTTTAGCGATTTATTCTCATCGTCATCCAGGCCTTTTACCGCCGATGGCCGTTTTACACATCACCGACACTTGGAACTTTTTGTGGGAGATGGAAACCTGCCGCAGCGCAACTTGGGCCGAAAGTACGTTCATATAGCCTCATTCATCCCACTCCTCGCTCCCCTCCTCTGTGCGCTTCATTCTGGCTCGGCGCCGGCGCTGGCAATCTCACGCCACGTGGCAATACTCGCCATCCCGCCACTCGTTATCCACTTCCATCTCCTCATCTGGGAGTGTCCATTTCCACTCCAATAGCCTTTTCCTCGTATCATTCCGATGCTCCATCGGGTGAGGGCACGCCGCGGTCGTTATATTAACGGTGCAGGTGCTCCGTCCTAGAGTGCCTTTGTACCCAAGTCGGGCGTTACCCCCTTTTACCACACGCCGCCCGATGTCTCTCAGCCAACTACACCCATCCGAGACCTCGTCCGAGTCTCCTACCGTCTCCCAGTCGCTCGTCGACGTCACCATCGAGGAGACCGCTGTCGCGCCCAAAGCAGCGGACCTGACCAATGCCGTTGGCGAGTTCGGCGTCATCGACCGCAGCACCACCTAACACGAGGCCGCCCACTTCCCAGTTATCCAGGACCGGAGCACGACACCACTTTCGGCGGACCTTCCTGGCGCTAAGGG